TGATCTTAAGGAGATGTCTTTATTGAGATTGGCTTTAACTATGAAAGGAGAAGGGTGATTTGTTTCATAAATCTATGAAGAGCTCTATAAACTGAGAAAAGAAAATGCTCAATTAGCAGCTCAGGCAGATAAGGCTGGGGCTCGATTCTGCACAACAGTGACGAGCTGCAGAGGCGAGGGAAGGGGAAAGTACTGAGCAAGAAAAAGGAAACAAGAAAGCTTGATCCTGGCTCAATTAGTAATAGTGCTGCTTAATGATAGCAGAGCTGTACTTCCTTAGCAGGTCCCTTTTCTGATATTCAGAGGACCTGGGTAAAGGCGGGAAGATAATTTCCCAGGAGCAAGGTCGGCTGCACTTTTATTCATTTCACATGGCTGGAGCTGACCAAATAAGTTCTTTGCAATGCCAATAGGCCACTAAAAGCAGAAAAAATCTGTCTTGTGGCTTTCATGTCCAACATAAACATATATGTCTTTTCTGTGTGAATCTGTTTGATACTACCGTGCAAATTTCACAGTATCACAGAATCATGGAATATGCTGAGTTGGAAGGGACTCACAAGGATCGTGAAGTCCAACTCCTAGCCCTACACAGGGCCATCCCCAAGAGTCACACCATGTGCCTGACAGTATAACCCAGATATTTCTTTAACTCTGTCAGGCTTGGTGCTGTGACCACTTCCCTGGGGAACCTGTTCCAGTACCCAACCACCCTCTGGGTGAAGAACATTTTTCTAATATCCAACCTAAACCTCCCCTGACACAATTTCAGGCCATTTGTTTGGGTCCTGTCCCTGATCACCACAGAGAAGAGATCAGTGTCTGCCCCTCATCTTCCCCTCACGAGGAAGTTGTAGACTGCAATGAGGTCTCCCCTCAGTCTCCTCTTCTCCAGGATGAACAGACCAAGTGACCTCAGCTGCTCCTCAAGGCCCTTCATCATCTTTGTTGCCTTCTATCAATTCACCTGATGCAAGACTTGTGGAAAATGAGAAGATATGTGCATTCAAAGAGAAAAGAATATGGTTATTTACAAGTGAATAATTAGATTGGGGTATGGCCTAGTGCATTATATTTTGCTCATTCTGAGACCTCTAGTTGAGATCTACTATTTTCATTTCTCCAGAGCATCAGAGAAGATAATTTGCAAGGATGTGTAGGAGTATGTAGCTGAGTATGTTCCACTGGTTCTGACTTCAGCCCAAGCTTTTGCAAGGATTTGTATGCAATTTCTTATATGTGTATTCCTGGCCATTCTAGTGGATACAAATGGAATCTTACCTGTGAATTCTTTAAACTCTGATCACCAGTAGCTTATCTGAGAAAGAATATTAGTTCAGATCTTAGAGACTGCTGCAGTTCAGTGAGCCCTGAACCTTTGTATTCCTAAATATCCTTTCTGGATTTCGTTATATCTTCAAATTTGGTCTTGATATTGATATTTTGTATGTATAAAATCTCTCCTTGCCTACGAGAAAGTGGCAATAAGCTATACGTACTTGCTCTTAAAGTCACACAACACAAGAGGAATTCTTCATTGAAATCTTACGCAGAGCTTGCTGATGTGCAACTGCATCTCTGTTATGTGAAACCTCTCTTGTTCAGTGCGACAAAGCTCTCACCTTCCAGTTCAGTATTCAACATGCACTATTTCCCTCTGCAATATTGCAGTGGGAACCACTCTGCATTGAGTTAATGCATCTGCAAGATGCATTATACTGATGTTTCTAACCAATGCTCGTAGCTGTCAGTTATTTTAACACGTGACTAAGAAAAGCATGTGGGAAAGAAGCTTACTTAAAGGTTGCAAGCTAGGAAGGCAGATGCTGTGCATGCACTCTGAAGAGATTGCAGCTTTGGTTTTCTTTCCTGAGGTTGGTGCTTTTCTATCTCCTGGTTACCTGTGTGGTCTGCATTTCTGGATGTTTGATAAACCTACTGGTTTGGGAATTACATGTATCAGTTCCTCCAGAGAAGAAACTTGACTGTCTCTAACTGAATGTGAGGTTAGCATCTCTGTCTGACTTGGTCATTGCTTCATTGCTTCCTGAGTGTATTATTGCTATGCAATTTTTAAAGGATTTGAAGTGTCAACCCAGAAAAAAGCTGCGACTGATGCTGAATTCAACAGTGAGAATTGAAATTATGCCTTTGCGTCCCAAGGTCTCTTTATATAAAAATTACACAAGCTGAAGATCTTATTGCATATTTTGAAGGCTCTGATTTCATTAAGCTGTGATAAAGCCTATGCCTGGATGGCTGTGTCTATCACCACATTGGAGCTCTCTCAAGGGTGAAGCTTAGTGCAGGAGTCCAAGTATCCTCACAGTAAAGGAGTAAAACAAGACTGTGGAAATCACTCATTCATAAGCTATAGAGAAATGTTTCCATTTGAGATGGAGAAGACTTTTATTGGAACATATTCTTCCATACAGTGAGGCAAGATATATTTGCATACCAATATTAATGAACATGAAAAACAAACTAGAGGTGATTCTATCCTCCCTTGAAGGCTGTCTGAAGAAAGATGATTTTGAATGATGGATTCTCATCCCTTTTAAGATTTTTAACTTTCCAGTGTAGTGGTGGACCAGGGTTTTATCCTTACAAAACTCCTAAGCTGAGGAAAGTGTTAGCAGTAATAATCAAATGGAATTAATTCCTTCTGCAGCCTGCAAATATTTACCAATATATTTATTCCTGTGCTTACTTGTATTGCCTATGCTTGCAGAATACTTTATGTACTGTTGACCTTTTGGCTAAATTTTTTTTAATTGGTGTCTCTAAATGTGGCATGTTAGAGCTTTAGGATATTAAAAAAAACCCAAACTGAGTACTTTTAGGAAGAAAAATGTTACCAGCAGCTGATATGCAACCTTATATCTTGGAATTGTTTCAACTAGGTGAGGGTGTAAGATATGAAAGGTATGAAAAGCGTTGTTTTTTACACAATACAAAAAGAAGTGATCACTCAAATAAGAGATCTGCTGTAATTTTCAAAAATAATCCAACTCCAAGTCCCCAAAAAGCTGTAGGAGAAAAGTGTTCAGTCCTAGTCCTTGAACTACATGCATTTCTCGGACAATAGCGGTGCAATGTCACGTTACCAGCACTGTAATTCAAATATCCAGCTGTGAAAGGCCAAAGGCTGCAGGTCACCCTACAGCCCAGATGAATGACCAGCACAGCCATTGTCCTGGAAAATTTGGATCTCTGTAGAACTGCTACCTATGAGCAATTCGCTGTTACCCCTGTCTCTCTGACCTTTGAATATGCATGTATCATGGGATTCTGAGCCTTGGGACAATTTAGGTATGAATCTTGAAGTCAAGAGGACTTGTACTGTATTAGCCCCTCCTGCTATGAGTTCTGGAGCTTTCATTATGCAAAGTGTCCTCTTTAAGAATGTGAGGAGTCTTTTTGAGGAGTCTCCTGACAAAATTATACATAGTTACCTCTGTAAGATCAGGCTTTTCAATCAGAAAAGTATTTGCAGTCCAAAGTACATTATTAATTTTCGTGCCTTTAACTCACCTTCAAATAAAGACTGAAAGCATATAATTGTTAAAGGAAAAAATAATTACTAGTATTCCATGCAGTCTTTTGATCAGAATTCATTTATAGTTTTATTATTTTGATAGGATTACATTGGTTGCTGTTGCATTCATCCCTTCCTTATACAGGAGATAGCACACACCCGCAGGATACTGCTGCTATGATAACAGTGACTTTTTCAAATACTTTTATGCAAGGCTTTCTAAACTTTCATCTAAAAGCACAATGCTTCTTGCTTGCTAGCTGTCTTTCTGAATATTTCTTAAAGTTGTCTAAGTGAAAATTAAAAATATAAACAGTTTTATGGTTTGGAGAATACAAAGCTGAAACTGATATCCACATTTTTTCCTTTTTAACCTGTAAAAGTAGTATTGCACTGCTTTACAAATGTTTGCTTTTTGGAGATAAAGAACACAGTGAAAGTGAAAATCATGTGAAGTCTAATCATTAGTGTTTGCAGAGGTTGCTCTCCTTTACTCTCAGCATGGATAAAGGTGTAATGTGGTTGCTTGTGATACATATGGCTTAAATGAAAATAAAAAGAAGAAAGCTTTTTTTTTCCCACATAACTTCCAGCTTCAGGAACATACATGATTACAAGAGTCCTCCAATTCAAGGAGCTAAATAGTAGTTTGACTCTTATGTTGAAATGCTGAGAGTAATGGTGGCAGACGCCATAATTTATTCTGAACTTTTCTTCAGGGACTTTGACCCAATCTGCTGTGCAATTCATTCTGATGGGCTCCAAACCTTGGCTGAAATGTAATTGAATCTCAGCAAATGCAAGGGAAATTGCAGGAAGATCAGCCTGAAGGCGTGATTGTTGCATCTTGCACTGCCATGTGGAATATTAGACTTTAAATTAACCCCTTACTCTTTTTGTTCTGCAAAGTTTCAGGGAACTGCAGGAGTCTTGGGTACTTGCTTATGTTCTCCAGGGACCAATCTGGGGAGCAAGCAGAGCATTCTGCTCAGAGAAGAAACACACCCTACAAATTTGGGACATACATACTCCTCCTAGAAAATAGCCCTGGGAGTGTTTCAGGCTGCAGCTATCACTGGTTCATAGAGGACATTGTGGAAAAATGCAGCCTGTCATGAAGTGGGGGAAAAAAGCCAATTTCTACCTCCTGACTAATGCTCCGCTGTTCTCTGAATCCTGTAGTGTGGAGGAAAGGCAGATGGCACATGCTTGAGGTTCAGAGTGGATGTATGTTCACCCACGTAACTGAGAACTTCAAAGCAAAATTAATGGATAGCTCATGAGGCCATTTTGGTCCTACAAACTTCAGATTATTTCTCATACATGACAGTGGAAAATGACTTTGTGAGGTGTGATGCATACTAGCAAACTTCTAGATGCTCCATATGGAATAGAGTCCATTGCGCCTAGCGATTGCAGCACGTACTGTGTTGTGTATAATGCCATTTTCACTTATTTGCAGCAGAGCCATGGCAGATGCCCATCTCACAAATGCTCAGTCGAAACACCTGCCTGGATACCCATTCAGCACTCTACCGTAAGTTTGAGCCTTTTAATACAAAGATTTGAGAGACTGAATGGTAAGTCCCTGTGTTTGAAGCAGCCCCGGTCGGGTAATATTTCCATACTCAGTGCATTTGAGAAAAAACAGAAACAAGTCCTAAGGCTAGACCAAGCTGCTTGTGAAGCCTGAACTGTTGAAATGTTGAGTAGTAGCTTAGCAGGGCTTCCAGAAGTTCAGGTTCTTCAGGAATTTAATTCATTCCACATGGAGCAGTGGGGAGCAGTGGCAAGCATGGTATAGTTGGTGATGGGGTCCTGCTCAGGGATTGTGGATTTACTGTTGATTTCTGTAACTGGGCTCCAGCTGAGTGTGATGACTGGGAGCCTGCTATTTTTGCCTGATCATGGACAAAGTTTGAGGGAATTCATTCATAAGCTCCTGCAGAGTCTACCAAAAAAAGCTGACATTTAAAGCTGGACCAGGCTGTCTCCAGATCCAGGTGGTGACACAGGTAAGAGGAGATGCACCTTTTCTTCTCCACCTTCTTATGGAAGAAAGACTGATGATTCTAGATGTTTTTATGGACTAATAAGTGGGGAAATTTGCCCAGTATAGGTAACAACTTTTGGGGTGATGGACAGTGAGCGAAACTTGGTCTGCTGGGTTTATAAGCAATTGCTGTTGTAAATGCTTTCCTCCTCCTGCCAATTAGATGACTTCAGTGATATTTGCTTTTAACTATCAAAGACACAAAAATATTTGAAGAGAAAAAAGCCAACTGTGGTCAAGTTGACACTATATTGATTTATATCTTGTCTGAACATAAACTGTAGGTTGAGCCAGGTCCTTGGATGCTCTAAGTTAGAGGGCTGACTAATAGAGCTGTGATGATTTATTGCAGCTGAAGAGTTGGCAGGATTTAGTCGACGTTTTTGTTGGCTCTAGACCATAGCATGATGTTGGTCCACAGCTATTAACTTGTCACGTTTTATGACTAGATGAATGAGAAACAAATTCAAGCTTTCACTCTCCCTCAATCTCTCACTAATCTTGTGAGTGATTGTAAGCTCTGTAGTTTTGGTTGTCCTTATAATATGTCAAAATTAATTATATAATTGTTTATCTGTATTAAAAGAGACCCACTTAAAAGTATTGTTTGAATAGTTGAGCTACCCATTTTTTTACCAGGTGAGGATCTAGGCTAGTAACTAATTAGTAATTCTTTCTAACTATTAGTTTCTGTTCTCAAAGTCTTTGGATCAACTCTGTGGTGTGGTTTACATTGTTTTGTGTTTATATTACGAGGGTTGCAGCATGAGCACAAGTGTGGTAGTGTGATGCATTTGAGAACTGGAACTGGGCATTTGTAGCAAGTGGCACTCAATGATTTCCACTAGCACCAAGACCTGACTTTTCACATAGTGGCTTTAAATGCCTTCGTATTTATTAGGATATTTTTTGCTTAAAGTATAAAAAATAAAAGCATTTATCTTGAGTATTCTTTGTTTGTCTCATTACACCAGACATGTGTACATGCATAGGTAACATCAATAGACCTGCTATCTTGCAAATTTTTATATTGTCACAAAAAATGGTAAACTGAGGATTAAACTTCATTGTCTTGGTTAGCATGAGTAATTGTCTAAGATCAGACTAATTTCAAGAAGTGTTATTTTTAAACTATTATAGTGGAAACTGGTTCTTGGACCAATAGTATTTAATATCTTAATCAACAAATAGACAGTGGGATTGAGTGTACCCTATGCAAATTTGCAGTGACACCAAGCTAAGTGGTGCTGGAGGGAAGAGATGCCATCCAAACGGACTGTAACAGGCTTGAGAGGTGGGTCTGTGTGAACCTCATCAAGTTTAACAAGGCCAAGTACACGGTCCTGCAGCTGGGTCAAAGTAATCACCAGCATTATCACATACTGTGAGATAAATTAATTGAGAGCAGCCTTGAGAAGAAGGACTTTGGGGTACTGGTGGATAAAAATTGGACATGACCTGAAAATGTGCACTTGCAGCCCAGAAAGGCAACCGTATCCTGGGCTGCAGATTGACGGAGGTGATTCTGACCCTCTACTCTGCTCTCATGAGACCCCACCTGGAGTGCTGCATCCAGCTCTGGCCTCCCCAACATAAGAAGGACATGGACGTGTTGGAGTGAGTCCTGAGGAGGCCACAGAAATGGTCAGAGCACTGGAGCACCTGTGCTATAGAGACAGGCTGAGACAGCTGGGCCTGTTCACCCTGGAGGAGAGAGGGCTCCAGGGAGACCTTACTGTGGCCTTTCCCCATTTAAAGGGGGCTTCTAAGGAAGATGGGGACAAACTTTTTAATAGAACCTGTTACGATAGGACAAGGGGTAATGGCTCTAAACTGGACAAAGGTGGATTTAGAACAAACATAAAAAAGAAGTTCTTTACTGTGAGGGTGGTGAGGCACTGAACAGTGCCCAGAGAAACTGTGGGTACCCCATCCCTGGAATTGTTCAAGATCAGGCTGGGTGAGGCTTTGGGCAACCTGATCTAGTGGAAGGTGTCCCTGCCTGGGGCAGAGAGGGGTGCGACTAGATGATCTTTAAAGATCTTTAAAGGTCTTTCCTAACCCAAGACATTTCTATGAGTCTATGAAAAAAAACCCAACTTACTATTAAAATACAGTTCAACCATTCACTTAGTTGCTATTTTTTTTGATTCTAGAGTACAACATGTGGTCCTCAAGGTAATTGCCTACTTGAAGCTTGTTATTATGTATATTTTTTCTTGATTATAGAAGCTGAATGGATTGAAAGAAAATAAGTTGTAATTTCCAAGTACCTCTTGCTTTTTTTTTTAAATCAAACAATTTTCTATGCAGCCAAACAGATTTTTCTGTCTATCTTATCTGTATCAGATATTTATAGGCACTTTTTACTATACTTCAGTAGACTTATTTTCTTGGGAGACTAATGCAGACAGTTGGGGAAAATTAAATCAGACAGAAATTAACTTCTAAGTGGTACCAATATTTTTTCCTATCTGATTTCAAAAGTGTTTTTTAACTGCCTTGCCTTTATCAGAGAAGAATATCTATGAAACATCAGCATTTTGATAGAAAGCTGATTAATGAAATGAAAATTTCTAGTGACACATCAAAGTATATTACCTTCCATAAAAGGATTGTGGGAAAAAAAATGAAGCAGATATCTAGCCAGTTGTGAAAACTCCATTAAATGACGACAGCATGTGTTTGGATGTCTCTCAACAGTGGTAGAGGGAACAGTGTCAAACAATGAAGGAAAAACAAACTGTTAGAAAAGGTATCCTCTTTCATCAGTTTTGCTGTCTGTGCCACTCAGGATGGCATGAGCCTGGGCTAGGTTTTTCCCTCTTTTTTTCAGCATTTTTTATAGAAAACGCTGTGTCCTCTCTCGGGAGTGCCTTTTGCATCTAATGCAAAACAGGAGATCTGGCAGCATTGTTGTTATGTAACAGTCTGACTTTTGCCATCCCTAACTTATCATTCTCTTTGAATTTGCTGATGATTCTTGCAATTAAGATTCTCAGTTCTGTTTGTCAACTCACCATCTGCAAAAGAGGCCATAAGTGAATACTGCCTTTCTGTTCCTTTACAGTGTCCTTAATTAGATTTATTTTAAGTCTGAGAGTTTTTTTGATCAAGGGAATTACCTAAGGGTGGCTTTGTCTGCACTTGCACTTTTAGTCATGTCTTCTGAAGGATTTTAGTGTTTGATTACAAAATACTCCAAAAGGAGTTCACTGTACTGCTCTCTAGCATACTAAATCTCTCTATAGCTGGGGCTGCTCACTAGCTAGATCCATTATGTAAAGATAATGAAGTGTCAGAGACTGCACCTGTGTTGCAAAAACATTCAGGATTGTCTTTTCTTCCAGCCCCCTTGACAGCTTTTCTTGAGTTTGGCATTCGGGACAAACATTCACCTTAGATCACCCTGCAGCATTAATAAGATTCCTCTGCATTTCCTTGCTGCAGTCTCAACAGAGCTCTTTGGCCCACTGTCCTAGCCCTCTTCCACCGAAAAATTCCCTTTTGGGCGTCATCTGCGATGGAGAAGAAGCAGGAAGTTGCAGTAAAGGGAGTGTGGACACAAAAGGTAAAGGATCTGGCACATGCCTTAAGCAGAGCCTCATTCAGCATCAGCTCTCCCCTCAGTGTGAAGAAAAGGACAGTGACTTTAAGGGAAGGTGAACCAAAGTGAGGGTTCTCATAGGGTAAATGCAGCAGCTGTACATGCTGCCATAGCTCACAGGCTGCAGCTTTACATAGGTGCTACGTTCTGCAGAAATTTAGTTGAGATCTTGGGTGCCAGGCTGCTCTGCAGCTGAGCTCTCAGTCCTTCTGCCCCTCAATTTGCCTATATGCATAGCACAAGGAGAGCAAAAATCACTCTTCTTTGAACCTGCATACATGTGCAGGATGTTATTGCTCTATTTACATGGGATAGATCAGTGCACGGAGGATATAATTACTCTTTCTCTTCTCCCAGTTTATTTAGAACACTGGAGGGATGCATGCCCTGCACAATTCTGATTTTAGCCTGCCTAATCTGAGAGTTAACCCATAAACATTCCTGGTTCAAACAAATCAAGTTTTTTGTATTCAGAGTCACTTTACAGGAGTTGTTTAAAAGAAATTCTCATTTTTGAAGGATGACTGCAAGTTAGTTCTGGTGGTTGTGCTCTGTGTAAAGAATGTTCTGACATGATATGGAGCCAAGCAGAAACATACTGAAACATGAATATTCTGATTTGGCTTAAGGCTTTAAGTCTGGAAGAATTGTTTCTGAAATCAGTCTTGCTCTTGTTAAACGCAAAACAGATAAATGTCTCTGTTAGGCTAGAGTCAGCTCTCTCCTGGGATTAGGGTTGTGCCTTATAACAATGTCCCATCCTCTCCTGTGTAGATGAGCTCTATAAAATAAATAAATAGCTCTGCATTCCAAAAAATACCTTTCTCAGGGTCTCTAAGCTTTAAATCTTTTTCTGTTAAAACCCTGTTGGCTAATA